GCTCGCTCTTGAATTCACCCAGGCCTGGCCCCCCGTCCGTCAGCTGGCCCAGCCCCCCAAACTGCAGCCTAGGGGGGGGTGGTGGGGGTGGTGGATGAGGGACACCCAGACGCCTGGGTCCCTCCATCCCATCCCACCTGGGAACTCCCCATGGGGCAGCCCTGGGGGGTCAAGGGGTTCCCAGACACCTGAGTCCCTCCATCCCACCTACCTGAGAACCCCCCCCTAGGATCTAAAGCACAATTTGGGGTCAATCAGGGCTGTTTTGTGGGACCTTGGGGTCAACTGGGGCCAACTAGGACCAGTTGGGGCAATTTGGGGACAGTCTGAGACACTTTGGGGAGAGTGGGTGACAGCTTGGGGCTGTTTGGGGCCCAGAGGTGACAATCTGGGGACAGTTTGGGGCTGTTTGGGGCCCAGAGGTGACAATTTGGGGACAGTTTGGGGCTCTTTGGAGACAGTTGGGGGCAGCAGGGAACAATTTGGGGCTGGTTTGAGCCAGCGGTTGACCATCTGGGGACGCTTTGGGGACATTTGGGGACAGTGGTGGGTGGTCGGGGATGATCTGAGGACACTTGGGGACAGTTTGGAGATGTCTGGGACAGTTGGGTATGGCTGAGGGCAGACTGGGGACAGTTTGGGACCATTTGGGGACACTTGGGGATGGCCAAAGCTGTCTGGGGACACTTGGGGACAGTTTGAGGACCAATGGGGACACCTGAGGACAGTCTGGGGCCACTTGGGGACAGCTTGGGACCACTTGAGGATGGTTTGGAGCCATCTGGGGCCAATTTTGGAGGCTGGTTGGTGCAGGTGACCCTTGGGGACAGTTGGGGACTCACAGGCCAACGCTGTATCCATCGTAGGTGGAGTCATTGAGGACAACGGGCGCCGGGTCGAGGGCCATCACCTGTCCCCGTGGCGCCGTGTAGGACAGGAGCCCGGCTGGGGACAGGGGACACCGTCACCACGAGGCCACCACAGGGGTTGGGTGGGGGATGTGGGGATGGGGGGCCACCACCCTGGGGCCACCCCTGGGGGCTGGGGAGGAGGTGACACAGGGGGGGGTTGAGAGCGATGGGGTGGGATGGAGGTGACGCGGGGTGACATGGGGT